ACACAACCATTTTAACACCATTCAATACAATTCGATATAATCCACTACAACTCTTAAACCTCCACATCATCATTTCATCACATTAGCCATTTCTTTCTCCAAGTTTGGTTTCATATTATAACATAATTTAAAACATCAACAATAAGAGTTCAATCGCAACTTTTACATAAATTTTCAAATTCTTTACAATTTCAATTAACTTGTATATGAGTAATTTAACACCTCAATTTCATGATACTACTTCCAATTTAAGCAAAACCATCAGCTATCTTCATGAACCAAATGAGAGTTTTCAAGAGAAATTAAAGCTTTTCACCAAACACATTTTATTCCAACCCTTCTACTACTTTTACACCCAAACTCGTGACCCAAACCATAACCCAACAAGTAAACCCCAACAAATAAACCCCAACTCTTCAAACCCTAACCCCCAATCTCATGATTAATCACAATATACATAAAAATATAGACTTTGTATTTGTATAAAGAAAATACCACAAATCTATCTATGAATGAGAGTATTGAAGGAGAACTAGAAACCCCTACCTCTTGAAGCAAAGAGATGACGACCCAAAAATCACCGGCGACGAAACCACGAACTATTTGGACCAAAAGGAAGCCCTTGACGAGATCTACAATCTTTCCCAAAGGATCAAGGTGAAAAGATCACTCTAGGTGAGTAGATCTAAAGATCTTGAGTGAAAAAGTTTGAGTTTTGAGAGAGAGGAGAGAACTCACGGCTTGAGAGAGAGAAAAGAGAAGAAAAAGTGAAATGAATATATGTTTGGAGCCTATTTGTAGTAGCAAGGTAATAATAGAACAAAAGCCCCAAAGCCAAATGAAAAGAACAAGTCAAAAACCCCCAAAAGTAGGGCCCAAACCAGCCTAAAAAGCTGAAAATTACACACAGGTGTCGATTCTTCGGGCAGAGGTGTCGACTCTTTAGGAAGAAAAGCAATCTATGCAACAGGCAAGGTGTTGACCCTTAGATAGGAAGGGTCGACACTAAATTCCAGCAACTAACACCCAGATTCTGCAACATACAAGGGTCGACCCTTTCAGATTGGTGTCGACCCCAAAACAAGATTTCTATGTTCCCAAACAACTTTTCAACGTAAACAAACATGAAGGAACAATCCCAACAAGATTAAATCAAATTGTACTCCTTCAAAACCAAAATACAACAACTCCAAAGACTCTCAAAATTAAAATAGTGAAATTAAATACACCCTCCAATAGTTTAAAGGACCAAAATCACAATGTTTATTTGACCTTTGATTGTATTAATTAATTTGCAAATGCACCTAAAATAAAAATAAATATTTTATCCACACAAATTGTGATGTTTGAATTAGCCCGATTGAAGTGGAGAGCTTTGGTCTAAAAAATTGCCCACTCGCCCAACCCCCTCTCTCTCTCTCTCTCCTTACCCACACTCCTATTTCTCACTCTTATTTTCTCTCTCTTATTTTCTCTCTTTATATGCTCCTCTTTTTTCACTCCTCTCTCTTTTATCTTCTCACCTACGCCGACAGCAACATCGGCGCTCATGCCGACCATCAATTTTCCTTCCCAACCCCCTTCTTCCATCGTCAACACCAAACCCAGCAAACACTCGCTCACTCACAACAGGAGAACTCATTTCGTTCAGCTCCGTAATGCAAGACCTTGCTGTCTTCTGCGAGCAGTGGAGAGCCCAAGGCTCCTACAAGACCTCGCTATTAGTTAGGGCTCCTACAAGGCAAATGAAAACTTAATTTCAAAACAAATGAAAACATTTTTTTTTTTTTACAAATTTTGAAATTTTGAACTTGATTGTTTTTTTCTTTTTAAATAAAAAAAGTATTTCAAACAAAATTTTCGTTTTCATTTCCAAAAAAAAAAAAAATTGAAAACAAAGCCAGTAATTAGAATGTACAAATATAAGAATGTTTCAAGAAATCCAAACCTTGTACGCTTCAAATTGTTATCTAGCTTCTATAAATACTTACTAAACATCATCAAATAAGCATAAGACAAATATGCCACTAAACCAAACAAAACTTGATATCAACATGGAAAATAAATGCCAATAGAGAAGGCATAGAAAGTTATCAGACCAATAAGCATAATTCACCCTGGCTAGGTGCTAATTTTTGGCCTACTAATTAGTATGTGAGGATGGCCGACCCCATCTTAGACACAATTGAAATTCCATAGTACCACCATCAACAACAACATTGGCATCCTTGACGTTAAAGGTAATATAATACCTAGACCAGCACAAACTGCCATGTTTGCCTTCACAACTTTCACGAACTCTAGATTCCTATTCTGCATACATATTTTCCGGCATATATTATGAACAAAGGTTAATTAAAAGCGTTGTGTTATAATATATATAGGGTTTGGCGAGCATTTTATCTTGATAGGCCTATTTTGGGATCAATTTTAGTAATCTTAACTGTTCACATTTTAACAAGTAAAATATTTATGTAAAAAATCAAAATGATTGAATCATATTTGTTTGGGGGATTTGGTCAAAGTCTCCTCATAATAATAAAACTTTAATACATTAATGACAAGCACAAAAAATTTCATTGAAAAGTCTAATACATACCATTATTACTAAAATATTAAACTTTAAAATAATATAACTTTTGATCTAGAAGTAAATTTTAAATAAAATTAGTATTTTTGGAATCTTCTCATTAAAATATATCAAATAAGATCCATTTTGACTATGAAATTCTTAAAATAATAATAATAATTTATTACTGTCCAAATTGATGTAAACAGTTACATGTTACTCTGTTTGACAGTAACATGTTACTCTGTTTGACAGTAACATGCCACTCTATCTCACAATAACATGTTATTCTGACAATATTGTTCAAGAAAAAAAAGAAAAAGATATTTTACTTTATTCTTGTTCAATTACGTGCCTCCTCCTTAGAGCGTTTATGAAGCAAAATATATTGGACTATCATTTTCATCAAACGAGAGTCAAATTGAGGGGTTTTGACTAAATTTTCCTATTTGTTTTACAAAAATAGATGATAAAAATAATTTCAAAAATAACTATTCATTTTTGCAATACAAATTTGATTTAAAAATATAATTACCGATATCCGATCATCTCATATTTTTGTAATTTTATACAAGGATTGCAATGTAACAAAAAAATAAAAATAAAAATAAAATAAAATAAAATAAAATAAATTCAAATTGAATGGTGTAATGAGTTGAATTAGTGGTGTAAATAGAATTACCCTTTACTTTTTCAGGAAACTAAACTTATTCTAAATAATGGTGATTTATGATACTTCTGTTAGTTTCGATAGAAAAATTAACGATAACTGTAACGCCCTCAATTTCATAAGACTCGACTCATCCATATTCATTATACACTCCAAATATCAATTGTATTAATCATCCGGAAGTGATAAATTATCTCTAACACATCGTTAATCATATTATAACCTCCACACTTTCGATTATATTTCATTCAATCCATTATAAGATTACAAAAGGTGAATTACATGTGAGTATATCTTCAGAATCTTTAAGATTTGAATCTATAACATATAATGTAATAACTACGAAGGTAAATAACATCCAAATATATGTCCTATAGACTTATAAATACTAATGGACTTGGAAAAAAAAAATCCCCAATAAAAACATGGGTTATTTTTCGAGTTCCATAACTGATTATTTTTTTTTAGTTTAAAGACAATTAAAACATACTTGTTAATTTGAGGACACAATTTTTTTTTTGGATAAAATTATCCTTAACGTAGTTTTATTACTCATTCACCTTTGACTTCCATCAACAGCCATCGACTGCTGGTGTCCATCGTCGATTACATGTGACCTCTTTCTAATGCGACTTTATAGTAAAGTGAAATTTCATTGATTGTTACACAAGGTTAGAAATTTCACTGTCTTTAAATTAGTGAAATTTCTTTGACCAATATCACTAAAATTGCAAAAGATTGGAAAGTTTTCATTATTTGGAAATTCACTAAATAAGTGTACTTATTTTTTTATAAGTGCACTTTTATTTGGATTATACCACATTTTTATTTTTTTAACACTTTTTCTTAAAAAGTCTAAAAATGCACTAAATAAGCAAACTCCAAACAACCGTGACGTCAATTAAATTTTCATTATGTTAGTGAAATTTCACTAACTAATTCAATTAAAGCTTAATATAAAATGTAAATGTCTTTACATTTACAATGAAACTTTTCACAGTGAAATTTCATTGACTAAGAATATCTTATAGGTTAATTAAGATACTAGTACATGAAAAGAAAATTTTCAATAAATCCTCCTTTAATTTAGTTGTATTCTATATTTTATTTCTATCCTTAATTATACTAGAGTCTTAAATCACTAGAGAGTAAAATAAAATTTTGAAAAGTTTGATCTGGTGGTCTAGATGTAAGATATGAAGGTGTGCATTCTCTATGGTTTGTAAGTGCATATAATTTTTTGAGGATAGGGGCAAAAGTCCCGACTTTAATTAAACACGTTAGTGAATGATGAAATTAGTCAATCCATTAGCTGGATATTGAATTTTTAAAAAGTTTAAAAATTTTGGCCTTTCTATTTTAATTTTTAAAAAATACTACAGATTTCAAATAATTGCCAAACATTTTACATACACATAAGATCCACACAAATCCCCACACACACATATATATATATATATATATATAAATCTCACTCCCATATAAAAATTTTAATAAATTATTTAAGATCTCAACAATAATTGAGACCCTTTTTTTTTGGATCCCACAATCCCTATTAGATCTTAACAATTGATGGCGTGGGCTCCATACATATATGAGTAGATTTCAGTATACATCAATAGTTGAGATTCAATGGAATTGTGAGGGTTCCAAAAAAAAAAAAAAAAAAAATCCCAAGCATTTTTCTTAAGGGCCCTAACATCATACTTCATTTTTTTACCTCAATTCTATTTAAAGGTAGATGAGCCCACGGCCCTATTTCATTTTGTATCTCGTCTGGTTATTTTTGTTTTAGGTTGGGTTGAGTTCCCTTGTCCGTCGGTTGTCTAGGTTTTCATTGTCGTTGACATATTATCTGTGCTGGAAGGTGTGTATGGCTTCCGATCTGTGCATCGAAAAGAACGATTCCAAATGGGAGATTAGAGATTCACCGGCAAAGAAGCAAAGGTGCGAGGATTACGGTTCACCACCACCGCTTTGTTCGTCAGCAGAAGAAGAAAAAGAAAAAGAAAAAGAAAAAGAAGACCCTAGATCAAAAGTTGTATTCTATAACTACGATGATTCAGATGTGGAAGATGACAGTGATGGAAGGCATGAGTTTACTGATAGGGAATACCAAGAATATAATCGACAGATCACTGAAAGCGATGTAAGTTTGTTTTTGTTTTCGTTTTTCATTTATCTCAATTTTCTTCTAAATCATATATTATTATTATTATTTTTATTGTATTATTAATTTGTGGGCTTTACATACATACATACATATACAAACAGGGCTTTGATGTGATGTCGTTCCCACGCTCCTTTGCTTGCGGTACAACAGCCCCTCTTTATAATTTCGATGACATTGCCGACGACCTCAAATCTTTTTCCGAATTAGCTCTTAAGGAATACAATGAGAAAGAGGTGTATTTCTTTATTCAATTGAAGTTCTGTTTTGTTTTGTGTGTTGTGTGTGTGCTTTTTTTATTTTATTTATTGAGAATATATATATATATATATAACATATAGACATATATTAGACAATGTTTTTAATTAGCTCTGTTGTTCATATATATGGTAAAATATGTGTGCAGCATACGAATTTGGAGTTTGTGAAGGTTGTCAAGGTCAACGTCGCTGGTGTTGCTGGTTTTTTGTATTATATTACCCTTGATGTCAGGGATGCTGCTGCGGTTGATGGCGGTACTATGGAATTTCAAGCTTGTGTCTGGGATGGGATTGCCCACACTGAAGTAGTCATTTCTAGGCTGAAATCTAGCACATAATCGAGGTAAATTAACTACTTTGGGTATATCATTAGTACCTATGTAATGATGTTTATTGGTCTGGCACCTTTCCATGCCTTCTGTGTTGACATTTATACTGCTTTTATATCAATTATATTCCATGTTGATATCAAGTTTTGTTTGCTTTGGTGGCATATTTGTCCTAATGGAATTGTGTGGTAATTGATCGGTTCAATACCTTTTGTGTTTAATATGAATCAAGCTTGAAACAAAGGCTGATTGGGCTGGATCAATAATAGATGGGAGGGGGGACTTCAATCTGTTGTTAGGTACACTTGTATAGGGTGTTGTGTTGCAGCAAGAAATGGGTCATACTCATTTAGTTTTGTAGGATTAGGGACCTTAGGAACCAAGTGATTAGAGTAGACGTAATTTCTTTCAAGATAGCATCATCAGAATTGAAAAAAGAAAAGAAAAGGAAAGATGTAATAGAATAAAATACGTTGTTATAAATGACAGGCCAAGCTATCTTGAAGAACATGGCACTATAGCCATTGGGGCCGGGAGATTTCTCATCTTTGAGAGAACTAGGTTTCTCTAATCCCTTCAACGGCAACATCCATGTCCAATTTCTGTTTCTGTGCATCATTTAGTTGATCACTTTCAGTACAAGTTCATGTCTTCTATGCTTGCCCAGCACCGTCTCCATTATAGCCTAGCAGGTTCTGAAAATAGGTAATAATCTTAGCATTTACTTGGCATCATCAGTAATGGAAACTCCATCATCCCTTGTTATACCCATAATCATATTTCTGCCCCTTCTTTGATTGATAACTTGAAAGATAATGGAGTTTTTTTCCTCCTTGCCGAGGGCTTGTGCACTCCTGGGGATTAGTCGGGCTTTGATCCAGACATCCCATTGCCAATCAAAATAAAAAATAAAAATGAAAAATAATGGATTGTTTTGGTCCCCCAAATTGAACCATTGAACTCAAGCCTTCTGCTTTAGTATGCTGTCCTCATTCCGGCACAGCTCATTAAATATAGTTGCTCTTTTCTCCACCCCAATCAAATCTGCATCATTGGGGTTGGTATCAAAACTTTTATGGGCTGCCTGAAATTTGAGATCTAACTTTCTCCACCTTCTTTGAGATGTCACCATAGTTAAATTGGTTTAGTTTCTTCAACTCAACTTTTAGCATTTTCAGCTTTTGGCATGGACAAAACATGGGAGTGCCCCGAACATGGTTTCTCCAAACCCTGGCAATAATAACAAAAAATTGAGGGTGGTCAGCCCAACAGCTGAAAAATGTGAAGTTCTTCTTTTGCTTAATAGGGGCAGGCAGCACTTTAACCGAGATAGGGCTATGATGGCCACATATTCCTGCAGGGAGGAATTTTGCCTCAGCCATCGGGACTTTCATGGTCCAAGCCTCATTGATGAGAGCTCTATCATTCTCCCGAAGCACCTGACCATTTGTTCATGCGAATTGCTTTCCTCAATATTTAAGATCATCGAACTCAGCCCTCACAAATCAGTCATTGGAGTCGTGCATGTACCTGGGCCATTTAACAGAGCCCCACAAACCTACCATGGGTGCTGGTCATTCATGCTAATGCACATTACATTCAGCATATCTTGATCCCATAGGATCCATATTCTTTCAAAAGTGGATCATTGTAATTGGACACCTTTTTCAGCCTTATTTACACTTCTAACTTTAGTTTCCAACTAAAAAGTACGGATACAGACACAGACACACGAACATGCCAATTTTCAAAAATGTAGGACATTTTTATTATATGACATTTTTAAATATTATATTAGTGGTTCTAGGACAATTTTTGTATATAACGTGTTTCATGTGTTTAAGAGTTAGGAAGTGTTCGACTAGTGTCATGTCGTGTCGGTAGAAGTGTTCATACTTCTTCGATACACATATATATGCAAATTGTAGCAATTATGTATGCACTGGTATACATATACATATATCCAATTGTTATGTGCGGAATGACAAGGGAATCCCAAAATGCAATACTTGTTATATACAAATTATACTTGGCAAATAGAGAGCTACATCCAAAACCAGAATAAGAGAAACCATTAATTTGAAATGGGTACCTCTTTGATTGGCACCGGGGTGTCCGGATCAAAACCTAACTAATCTCCAGGGGTGCACAGGTCCTCGGCAAGGAGTTTCTTGCAAGTGCACCACAGTTAATTCAAGAGTTTTGCCCTAGTCAGATGGTCTTAAGGAATTGTTAGCACGTAAGAGGCTTCGAACCCTAAACCTTGGAGGGAGTGCACCCTCAAGACCTAAGGCCTTGCTACCAGGCCAACCCCTTGGGTTTTTTTTTGAAATGGGTACATTGTCCACGAAGGCATCATCAAAAGTAGAGTGCCAATCATTATAGTTGGGGTGCCAATCATCAAAAATAGGCATCTCGAGCGCTGAGACAAGGAGATCCTTTTATCTCCTTTTCTCTTCATTTTGGTAGTGGATGTGTTAGGAAGGATGGTGAATAGGGCTAAAGAGGCAGGTCTGTTTGAAGGCTTACAAGCCGGTAGAGATAGGATTAGTTTGACACATCTGCAGTTTGCGGATGACACTATTTTCTTCTCTACGGGGGACGAGAGTCAAATGGTTAACCTCTTTTCGGTGGTGAGGCTTTCTGAGGTGCTCTCAGGTCTTAGGGTAAATTTAGAGAAAAGTAGTGTAGCGGGTATTAATGCAGATTTAAGTAAGATTCAGTGAGTGGTTGAGCTACTCGGCTGTGGTATTGAGACATTTCCAATGAGGTATTTGGGACTCCTATTGGGAGGGGGGTAACCCAAGAGGTAAAGTGTTTTGAAATCCAATTGTGGAAAAGATAGGTAAGAGGTTAGAAGGGTGGAGTAGGGCTTTTACTCTCCCGAGGGGGTAGGTACACTTCAGTTAAGACAGTGCTAAGTCGAATTCCAATTTATTTCTTTCATTTGTTCAAGATTCCGGTCAAGGTGGCAAAATCTCTAGAAAAGTTGATGTGGGATTTTCTCTGGGAAGGGAAGGGAACGATGAAGGAAAGAAGGATTATGTGATGAAATGGGAGACGGTGCCCTTACCTAAGAAGAAGGGGGGGTTTGGCCATTGATAATATTGTGGCTAGAAACATGGCTTTGCTAGTAAGTGGTTATGGAGATTTCCAATTGAGTGTGACTCACTATGGCATGCAGTTATTAAAAGTAAATATGGGACTCATGTTAATGGTAGGGACTCAGGTGGTCACTAGGGGTAATGGGCGTGCTCCTTGGAAATCAATTTCTCAGATTTATCCAGTCTGGTCTCGATCCATTTTTGTGAGGGTGGGTAATGGGGAAGTGGCCAAATTTTGGGAGGATGTTTGGGTGGGTTCTTCTTCCTTTGCTGTGTCCTTTCCACTTTTGTATAGAGTTTTTCAATCTCATAATTGTTCTATTGCGTCCATGGCATGCTCTTTGTTGGCTCCTTTTTCCTGGAATTTTAATTTTCTCAGGAATCTTCATGAGAGGGAAGTTCGGGAATTGGTATCTCTATTGTCAAGGCTCGAAAACGTTTCTTTGATTCCAAATTTGGAGGATCGGTGGGTTTGGAGTATTCATTTGTTGAGTTCTTTCATTTGTAAATCTTTTCTTGACAAAATCATTGACAGTCCTCATGTACCTCAATTTCTGTTTCATAAGAAGATTTGGAAGGCATGTGCTCCTCTTAACGTGAAGGTATTCATGTGGATCTTGGTTCATGGGGGCATTTTGACAAATGATTCATTGCAAAAGAGGAGACCTTCGCGTTAATCCTCAATGGTGCATGTGTTGTAAGAGTGGAGAATCTCTAGATCATCTATTTTTTGCACTGCTCGGTGGCTGGGCATTTGTGGCATAGGGTGTTTGGATTGGGCAATGTGATGTGGGTGGCCCCAAAAGGAAGTATTCAAATGATATATTTGATTTTCAAGTTTTAGGAAGGCAGAAGAGGGCTAAAGTGCTTTGGAGTTGTGTTGTCTTTGCAATTTTCTGGGTCATTTGGTTGGAAAGAAATGGGCGTGTCTTCGAAGGAGTTTCTTGTGATATAGATTTTTTTTGGGAAAGAGTGAGATGAGTGAGATACTCGGAGTCTTTTTGGGCCTCGGCGAGTCTAGTGTTCCAAGGGATTCCACTTTTTATGCTTGCAGGTGTCGGTTTGTATTTTGTAGATGTCACTGAGTGTTTTTTTGTTTTTCTTTTCGCTGTTTGGAAGCCTCATCCTCACTTATTTTTTGGCCTTGTGCCTTAATATATCTTTGTTGTTGCTGATCAAAAAATAAAATAAAATCATTATAGATGGGAAAAATGTTACATAGGAACTCTAAGGGTTAATGATTTCTCTGTTAAATGAATCTAGGAAGCAACTGTATATTGGGTGGGGGTGGAAATGGAGGCTTTTATAAAGGAGAAGCCTGGACTGGAAGTCCTGGGACAAGGGTCTTCTTGGTGTGGATCTTTTGAAGAAGAATGGGTGGTAAGAAAGCAAATCAAAGAGGAATGATGAGGGAGGTGAGGGAGGAGGACGGACATGGCAGGGGAAGATGAAGACAACGATTAAATTTGACTTGATTAATTTTTTTTCGTCCTATTCTCTTAACAAGTGCGTGTTTCACAATATCTATCTGTATAGATGGAAAATGTAATGGTAGCACTTTAGTGCCAAAATCACGTGGATGGTATTTGGCTATTTTTGAAAGGCATGAGATAAAGTGCTCTCAGCCATGCCACATGGGGTAAAATGGATTGTGCGGAAAACAGTATTCTTAATGGAATTAAAGCTCTCAGACTAACCTTATTTTTTTGTTGCCACCAAATTTAGTACAATGTGTATCTTTGGACTAAACATTAGTTGAGTATTGGATGATATAGCACGACTTCACAATAATAAAGTGATTTTTACTCTTGTCAGCTATGTATTTGCCAATCTTAATTTGGTCTTGCCCGCCCTTCTACAAACATGAAATCAGAATACATATTGATTAATTTGAGAGTAGAGAGTATGTTAACGTTACATATGGTGGTGGCCTTTTCTTTCTTGAATTTTATTGATAAGTTCATGGGTTTCTATTCACACTTCCTTCCCCTTAGGACCTTTTTTTTCTGCAAGGTGGTGGGTAGGGTTGAGTAAAAGACATCACTCCCATGAGGAACTTCACACTCTTTGTATCAGAAGCACTATTAATTTATTTTTAATAAATGAAAATGACCAACTTCAGCGCCTCTATGAATACTTATTTGTTTACTTATTCCGAAAGTAATAGATGAGTCCTAGTTTTACAAAGGAAATATAGTTCAGTCCTATCAAGTTTTTATACGACAATTCAGTCCTACTTTCCATAAATATTTTTAGAAAAGTCCTATTTTTCTTATATTCCTCCTTTACCTTTTAAAATTTTATTATGAAAATGCCATACTAGAATTTTATTGCATCTGCGCTCCCTCTATACCAAGGTTTTCAAAGGCACAAACGAGGTGCGACTCGAGGTGAGGTGCAGCAGAAATGCACAGATGCGTTCTTTTTTAGGTGAGACTCCAGCTATGCGCATGCCTCAATCGCAGAGACGTACGCATTTCTCGCGTTTTATGTGCGTTTCACGCATCCGATGGTGAGGCTCAAGCCTTGGAGGAGTTAGATTTCAAAAATAAAAAACGGAAACGATAGAGTACTTACCTTTAAGTCGATCTTCTTCAAATCAGAGTCCCAACAACTTCGAATCAGTCTTTTAATCTTCTCCAACGAACTAGGGTTTCAAGGTACGAAGTCTATCTCTCGCTTTCTCTCGAGTTGACTCTCTCTCTCTCTCGTTGGTTCTCTTTTTTTGTATCGCCATTTCAAATATCTATAGAGACAGTATTTATGTATCTTTTTGTTTTGTACTCATCTAGACTATTATTAATATTATTATAACTTAGTTTCTTCTTCCTTAATTTATTATTATTATTATTATTATTATTCCATTCTTCTTCTTCTATTATTATTATTATTATTATTATTATTATTATTATTATTATTATTATTATAACTTAAGTTATTTTTTTATTATAGTATTAATGAGAATGACTTAGAAAACTCTTATAATACTTGAATTTATTAATTAATTTTGATTTTATGCTTAGAATGGCTTTTATGAATTTTATTTGCTAATTCTTATTTGTTTTTTTACTCTTTTTATGCTATATTAAATTAATTTTGTATTTTGTAAAAATTAAAAAATTCAAAAGGCTTACGCCTCGCCTCAACAAGGGTAAAATGCCTTGCGTTGCACTTTCACCTTTAAAAGCATCACTCTATACGCCTCACTCTAGCTTTGTCCTTGTGACATTGATAGCTACGAAACCTACTCTTGTATTTCTTGCTTCATCTGCCTTGGGAGCAAAAATGATAGCTTGCTTTATAGCTAACTCCTGGCATTTGCAGCAAACATGTGTTGTCAATATCGGTATACTCAGAGCTCCTTCTTGGTGAAGATGCTCATATAAACCCACCCACCCACTCTCTTCCTACCATTTTAGCCTAATAAATCATCGCTGTTTAATATGAGATTATTTTAGCAAATTTTTTTTGACAATCACCTTTAGTACAATTATAATTTTGATTCAAACATTTTTTTCTTTGATGTTGTGAACTGATTCATAATTTGCCTTAATTTACCTTTTTATTGATTCATATTTTTCTTGACAACAGCAAATACAATTGTTCATGATGGGTGGGTTATTAATGGGGATTACCTGTGGATCAAAATTAATGTTGAATTGGTAAAGATGGATGAGAGAAAGGAAAAAAAGGGTGATAGAAATGTGTCAATGATCACTGAGTTATGTGTATAGTGATTAATGGCCATGACAAGGGGTAAAGTTGAAAGAAAGAATTAGTATTGAACTACTTTGGAACAAAATTTTCAAAGTAGGACTTAATTGTCCTACTAGAAAATTTATAGGACTTGTTAGTATTTTGTACAAGGTAACATTGGAATTTGGACTTTTTTGTTGTTGGTGTATGGCTGAAATCAGGTATAGTTGAAATGGGATTGGAGTTTATATTTAATAAAATCTCTGAACATTAAGGATATATTAGTGGCCATCTATGATGTGAATGCTATTTATGCTTTTAGTGAAATGTGGAAGTCTAATTTATGTCTTTTTTTTAATTAAGTCTTAGTCGAGTTGAACCAAGCGTGTGGATGGTTAATTTATGTGTTATTTATTAGCACATTGATTGTTTGTTAACAATTACTTTTTCGGTGGTGCTACATGCACCAATTAATGTACACACTAGTGTACCAACTAGTGTTATGCCGTTATTACTGACCCCACCTATTAAACAAATTACAAATACCTAAAACTTCTAAAATTATGCCACATCATCCGTTAGTACATTAATTGGTACATATAGCATTATTCTTAATTTTTAGTTTTCTGCTATCATGACATTCTTTCTCATTTTTTCATTTTTATTTTTTCTTCAGCACATCTATGTTATGTATGGTTTCACATGGATCATTGTTCCGTGTTAATGCAATGCTCATCTGCATTGCCTTTTTGTATCTTACGCATCACACTCTTAACATGTTTGTATTTTAATTACACATTGTGACTTTTTTTTTTGTTGTTCCCATATCTGTTTCAACAATGCTGAGTTTAGTTGAAACTTCTAATATTTTTCTTTTGATTTTGTTGTTAGCGGGATACAAAGATCAAATATTAATTCTATGTCTTGCATGTGCATCCCAATTTCAAAAATTAATTCCAAATTATATCACATCAAAAGTTATTTGAGATGATAGACGAACAATTTACGAGTCATAGCCTCACAGGACAGTTATTCAATTTTATCTCTGCACAGTTAATCCAGCAATTTGATAGGGATGTTTTATATTTCTACTAGTGTTGAAAGAGTTGCACTTGATGTTGTATTGTTCTTGACTGTGTATCCGTATAAAAAGAAGAAAAGTAAATGTGGTCTGCATGTAGAACAATATCCTGACGTGTAGTTTTTATACTTGGTTCAGGGCACTAGTTGGACTTTTACACTCTATACGAGGATTATATTATTTCGTTTTCAGCTGAGTAGTTTCATGCTACGTATTTTTATAAATGTTCCCCTACCCTGAACTGTTGGAAAATTAAATTGTTGTTTCAAGACTAAACTGTTTTGATAAATTATTATATTATCAATTGAATCAAATTTATGTTAATTTTCATTTTCATTTATTCTTGTGTGTTTGTATGTATGTGTCCATATATATATTTATTCTTACTGATCATTTCAGTTTGATATTTTCCAAATTTCTCGTTCAATGCAATAAAATTCATCAACTTTCCTTCTATGAGGTTTGTGTTTGTAATTTGTGTAATAACAGTCTTCAATTTTTCTTGTGTTTGGTGTATTGACTAGTTATGTTTTACAAGAAGGTAGTCTAATGACATACATAGACTTAGAGCCTTGGAATTTACGAGCTGGAAATGTTTAGATGGCCAAGTACAAGTAAATGTTTAAATATCTTATTTTGTATCTTATTTTGAATAAAATCTATACTAATAACTGGCAAATATAGTGGGTGAAGCAATAACTGAACACTAAAAATTGATGTTGCAAGCACTTGCATATTTGTTTTGATCACATATAAAACTGTATAGCCATAAAAGTGTTTTGTATAATCCAACATTGGTGAACAAGTGGTTGCTTTAGATGCCTCTGTTTTAGAGCTGATTGTATAGTTTGGTTACTTGCAGGTGAGATTGAAGATTTCACCAAGGTAATATGCTTATGGAGTCCCAGTCAGTTGTTGGAAGGGTGTGCTACTATGAAACAAAATGAATATAATATTAGAATCTTTGTACATGTGGTGGTGGTAGGGTTGTGTTGGTTAGGCTGTTGACGTCAAAAACGTTGGATATTGACAATTATGTTGTTACTTGATTTAGAATATGTCTAGATTAATATTCTAAGCTAATATCTAAACTAATATTTATAAAACAATGTCGTCAGATGATGTTTTGTTTGACAAGTGAAATGTATGACACATAACAACTAGAGCAAATTGCTTGTCCAAGTTGTTTTTTAACTTTAAACATGTAAAAGAACCTAAGCCCAAAGCATCCTAAACGATGGAGTTGCCCCATACGCATGCTGTTGAATTGGAAAGTGTGAGGTGTCTACAAAAGTTGTTTCTATGTGATGGAAGTCAAACCAACTGCTGTCTGTTTACTGTGCCTATGGCTTGGTGTTTTGTGTGAAAAAATTGCGCCCACATGTGTTTCGCATGAATTGAAAATGGTTTGTTCGAGGGACATTGGCATAATGATTGAATTTCCCCTTTTTCATATATTTTGTTGATGGTGCTTGATTAAGAATCACACGCTCGGCTCAGTTGGTAGTATAGCTGTTGCATTGTGAGTCTCATGACTACTTTGCACATTGTTGACATCTACGAAGCAGCAATGACTCAAATCAATGTTTATGAGGGTGAGACTACTCGAAGAGTGATTTGTGAAGTATCGCATTGATCTAGATGCATTGTGCAACTGTATTTCCTAAGGTCATGCAGACAGACCCTATGGAGTGACTAACCTCATTAGTAGGAATGGCAACGGGCCGAGGAGGGGTGGGTTTTAAACTTCGTCCCTGATCTCTAATTTTAATTTTTTCTAATCCTTGTTCCTGTCCCCTACCAAGGATCATTTTTTTATCACCACCTGTGGCTAACAGGGTTAAAACCCCATCCCGTTTCTTCTGCTTCAATTTACCAAGTAAAGCAAAAAAATCCTTTCTACTAATAGAGTTTACAATGAAAAACAAAAAATTAAAAAGACAAAAAAGTAAGATAGGACAAGTCAATTAAAATAAATATTTTTCTATTGAAAAGATCCAACACTAGGAAAACAAATTAAAAGAGCAACTAAAAACCCGTTTATACTGCTTCAATTAACCAGTAAAGCAAAAAATTGGTTTCTACTACTTCAATCCAGAAAGAAAAACAAAAAAGAAAAAAAGAAAAAAAAAATAAGACAGATAGGACAAGTCAATTAGGGCAATGTTTGTTTGAGCGAATTGGATAAAAGGGACAACAAATTATAAGTCTTGAGGTACATAGTCCTTGAACTATTTAATTGGAAAAAATGTGTGGCTTATTTGTTTGTCCTTTTGAATTGTTTACAATGTGACAATACTAAATTTGAAATATATTTTATTTTTTATTTGAAGTTTATTTATTTTATTTTACTAAGATCATTTTTAATTGTCTAGATACGACATTAGAATTATATTTTCATTTATGATTTTGCAAATACAAAAGAGAAAAAAAAAGAAAAAAGAAAAAAAGAGGAGACTATTATACATCATGAGATTAATTTACACATGTTTAAAAAAAATTTAAAATGAAAAAAAATAGATGTTATGTATTAATTTTCTTTTAAATATTAGAAGTATATATCTTTTTATTATTTTGCTAATATAAAAGTAGAAAAAATTATTATATATCACGAGATTAATTTGTATGTGTTAAAAAAATTCAATATGTTTAAAAAAAATAAAAGAAATAAATGTTATATATCTAAGGTTTAATTTCATCATTTAATTATCTAATTTGGAGATTGGCTCAATTCGTCTATTTCTATCCCACACCTTTGCCGCGGTGAGTATCGGCCCATCGCGGCTTGAAAAATGGTTACAACCCATTACGTAATGGGAATCGATCGATACGACTGTGATTTTCAGTCACACCACGATACCAATGGGTATCCATAACGGGACCTAATTTTCTCAGTATGAATTGGCCAGCATGCTACATACTGACCATTTTTTAGAACTATGGGTACCATTGGATTATAAGTCTTTAGCAATTCTTTTGTAGTTTTGCGTATTGAAATCCTAAATATGTTGTTTGAAATAATGTGATTATAGAAACCAAAACAATAAAGTAGAATTTAATATTTCCATTGTCAATTTTAGTTATCACTTGGGTTACTTGTACTTCTTCTTCTTCTTCTTTTTGTTTTTGTATTTTTTTTTTAATTTTAAGTTTTGGGTTAACAGAATGTTATGATCATATTGTTCTTTTCTTTCTTTCTTTTTTTTTTTTAATATTTTTTTTTATTTTTTTGTTTTTAAATTCAAATTTAAAATTTAAAATTTTCATTGTTTCCTCATTTTATTTCCAAATCCCAATTAAATGTTCTAGTTTTAATCTTGGGGAAGCAGTGACCATAGTTTCAAATTTCAATTGAAAGCAAATATATTATTTTTGAGTGTTCAACTCTAAAAATAAAGAGATAGTTGGTCTATAATCTTCACGACTTTTAAAAAATATAGTAAATTTGACTTTTCGTTGACTATCTATTCAAATTTATATCTATCTGTTCAAATTTTTTGTCTGTGTTCACATTTGTATCTATCTATTCAAATTTTTTGACTATTTGTTCAATTTTTCTCCTAAATTCTATCTACCTGTTCAATTTTTTTCCCTTAAATTCTATTCATTTATTCAATTTTATATTTGTCTGTTCAACTTCCCCTCATAAATGCTATCTATATGTTCAAAATTTTCCCTAAATTCTATCTATCTATTCAATTTTTTTTTTCTTTCTATTTGTTGAAAATCAAAGTTAAATTTTTTGTTTATCTTTTGCAATCATCATCATCAGCATCAATTTTTCCCCTATCTGTTGAAAATTTGTAGATTTCTCTCTATCTGTTTAAAATTTGTGAATTTGTCACTCTCTCTCCCTGTGTGTGTGTGTGTGTTTAAAATCTATCATATTTTTCCCTATCTCTTAAAATCTATCTGTTCAAAATTGATTATATCTAACATAAATTCTTTTAAACCTATCTGAACAACAACAACAACAAACCCTAAACCAAAAAATTCAGATATGAGAAAGCATAAACAGATCTATCTGCTGAATAACAACACATAAATTTTCTGCCACTATTTGTTGGAATTATCATCAACAACAACAGCAACTAAGAAAGAAAGAAAAAAAAAAGATAATTAGATTATGAACAACAACAAACCAGGTCGCAAAAAAAAAAAAAAAAATGAAAAAAATTGAAAGCCACTCCTCTAAGATCCACAACAGATCAAACGCAACAAATCTGTTAAAAAAAATCATTTACAAATAATACAGAGAGATTCAATAGATTTGAGCCATTTTGAACAAATCTGAGTCACAAGAGGTCTTATCTGTCAACAACACCGATCTGAGCTACTCTCTTTCAACTTCTCCTTAGATATTTTCAACAATATATATATATATATATAGTTTCAGATATGAGCCACTGTGTTTGTATAGTTACCCCTATTGACGTCGGTGTAAACCTTAGTCTTGGAGGGGGCATTGGGTCTCGATATTTTGCGCCAAGGTTTGTGACATCAAAAACAACGGCTGAAGATGGTGCAACGGTGGTGGTGACGTTGTTGTTTTTGACGGTGTAGTGGTTGGAGAAGAAAGAGAGAGGAATGAGAAGTGAGAGATGGAGAGAGGAGGAGGAGGAGGAGAGAGAGAGAGAGAGAGATGAGGAGAGAAAAACATGTGCCGGTGTATTGGATTGACGCAGCAGTAGTACTCGCCCTGACCGCCGCCTCGACATTTGGAGATGGATTGGTTGGCTTTCGGAAGCGTCGACATTGAAAGATAAAGAGAGAAAGAGGAGGAGAGAGAAAGATGGGTTGAAAGAGTTTGACCTGAAAACAATATATATAGGGTAAATTACACTCACCTCCCCTGAGGTTTCTGACAAATAGAAGGACATCCCCTGTGGTTTGAATAATTACATAAACCTCCCCTACTGTACTTGACATTCTCCAAATTCCCCTCTGTTATAACTTTTGTTATCGCAAGTAATAGAAAATGTTGAGGTCATCAAAGACAATCCCAAAAATGCCAATAATTCCCTCAGGGCTTTTGAACCCAGCTATATATACCCAAGGCAATATCTCATCTTCAGAACTAAGCACAACACACAGAACTGGAAGTAAATAAAACAAAAGACAAAGCTCCACAACCAAGCACAACACAAGCATGCTACCATTCACATTCACATTAAGTAATTATTTAAAAAAAAAAAAAAAATCAAGTCCACAATCCACAGTCTAACATAAGTCACAAATAGAGCACAGTCAAGCACAATAATGCAATATATGTTCTAAAAATGCATTATAACTCTCACATTCCATAAAATGTAGGATCATATGGATATGTCATCATCGAGTAATGGAGTGGGGTGATCAAGTATAGGAGTAAGATCTGCTATTGTGGGAGCAAAGCAGCAATTAAAGTCACAAAATCAGAGAAAAATAGAGGCAAATTATATTATTTATGCCTACATGGGAAATGCTCTTTCTGGGACTGGTGCAAACCAGTAAACTTATCTGTTGGAGAACAAATGATGATGGAAGACGCTAAAGCTATTGTTAACAGGCACACTCTATCCTATGAAGAAGATACCACTACAGTGAATTTAATGAACCAAATAGGGGCTATGCAAATAAGGATGCAAGTACTTGAAGCAAACAAGGGGTTTATGAAGATAGTAATGATCAAGAATGTTGTATTGTGTTTGATTTCCTTGATGGTTGCTCTGAAAATGTAATTGGAATTGCTAGGACTTTAAAGCTTTTGTAATGTTTTGTAAGAATGTTTTTTAATGGACCTTATGTGATCATCAATATATAAGTATGATGCAGTTTTTTGACTATACATCATTCCATTACATTCCCAAAATATAAACGTAAACACCAAGTGTGCACTATACATCATTCCATTACATTTTGTACTAGCCGCTATGTCCACTACAAAAATACAACAAGTGGAACATTGTCTTCATGGTCTATGCTTACTATTTCATGTCCACTACAAAAATACAAAAAGTGGAACATGATCTTCACTAATTGTGCACTAAAGAGATATGTATTATATACCTTAAAGTTATGGTAAGTACTTGTACCAAAAACGTCGTCATCATCATAGCTAATTCATCTGCAAGAAACGATGAAACAAACAAAAAGAACCACTGTTGGATTCATGCTATATGAAAAAAAAACTTACACGTGCATGCTAAAGTAATGTAATAGGAAGACTAAACAAATATGAAAAACTTACACTCAAACATGCTTGGCATTGGCCTTGCCCTTGCCTCTCCCAGTTGATTTTTCCCTCCAGTTGAAGTGCCCCTCCCAGATGAAATGCCTC